CACCCGCCTCACAAAGCACTGTAAAGATCCTTGCACACGGAGTTCACAGAAATTGGTGGTCTTCTTTTTAATATGTTTCTCTAGTATCGCTAGCAAAGCATCAAACTGAGCCAATGAAGTAAACTTTGAATCGCCCGTGATAATTTTTTTCACACCAGATTAATTAATACGCATCAGACTCAGTGTGCAAGGTGACAAATTTTTAGGATTTCGAATACGAAAAAATGCATACGAAAAGTTCGGACTCGCGATAATAACGATAAAACCTAGTTGTTGACATATTTCTGTGTGCGACAATGCGGAGCGACATCGCCGAAGGCGAACGTGAAACTGAGGAGGAGTTTATCGCTAAATGAGGAGCTGGAGCTCCTTCTACAATCTGGAACTGGTTTGGTTAGGGCTGTACAGTGCACAAAAATCGGTCTGAATTAATGTAGTACAGTAGCACGTGTGTGATACATTTTTGCATGTGCATGAGCCTGTTTGCAAACCTGTTGTCCAACAAAGATATCATTTATTGACATGCTTTTTCTCCAAATTAACTTAATAACATAGTCGAGTGTTTGAAATACTTCTTTTTGTGATCAGATGTGGTTTCATATTACAGAATGATAGTATATATGTATAGTATTATATACAGTGATACTGATAAAGGGCATGTCGATTAGCATATTGCATTACAAATATACTTTCCTTATAAAAATAGGTACCCAAGATTGAAGAACACTGATAAACCATATATTTTGTGTAATCGTATGTTTATTGTCTTCAAGTTTCATCAGTTTTCATCATCAAACTTCTCTATCTCCATTGTGCGTTTTATTCAGTGATAACTGGATACCTTCCTGGAGCGTTGTCAGTAGTATTACTTCTGATATGGATATGTGGAGTTTCTGCGCAAGGGCGCCCTCCGGCTTCCAGTATGAATTAAACAGTCATTGCATTACATGTGTACTCAGTAATGCTCACAACACCCTATTTGGGGTAAAAATAGGAAATATAATACTTTTCTCTAAAGAAACAGAATTCCCTGGATTATCGTCATTGATATCGTTATCGCAATAAATACCAGAAACATCGTGATATATTTTTAAGCCCATATCGCCCATCCCTAGTAGAGAGATAGAAAGATAAGACTCAATCTCATCGCATCTCTACAGTTGGCTCAGAGATAAGGTGGTCTGACTCATTCACACACACACACACACACACACACACAGAGTCAGTGACGTGGTAAGGCCAGGTCTGGGGGACGGCACTACAAAACAGCTCTTTTACCAATGCCAAATGTCAAGCATTATGAAGCCGTGCTATTGTGTGGGATTACACAATGAGAGGGAGCCGTGTGTGTCTGTGAGTGTGCTGGATGCTGACTCACTGAGGGTGGCCTTGGGTACGTGTCATAAGGGGGCGGTGGGCTGTCTTGCTTGGGTGTCGAGGGCGTCTCATTGTCTTCGTGTTCACTTTCACTCCAGTAGTCTGCTGGAAGAGAGAGGGAGGAACATGCAGGGAGTCATTAGCTTGTTGCAAAACATTTCCATAAAGTAAACAATAATTAAATTAAAGCCTCGGAGATCATGTGGGGCACAAAGGCACATGCAGGTTTTTCAATGAGAACCTGTAGTAAAATGCTCTACTGCACAGTTCCTAGACCTTCTATATAGTCTACCCTGATTTGTGATGTCAAACGCAGGTAGGAAAATCCAAGACAAAAGTCAATTTTAAAATACGTACGAGAGTTTTGCACACCGGTCTGTTATTGTGGTGACATTCCCACGCCCTGAAACGTGACGCTGAACGAAACGAACTGTGATTGGTTGTTTGACATGTCGGTCAAACGGCCTCATGGACGGGCCTTGGCCAATGAAAGCTGCCATGGATTCCAGACCTTCAGCCGTCAGTCTGAAGGTCTGGCTATGCGAGACTAAAGTTTGGCTGGTTAGCAGGTTACCCCCTGCTGGCAGATGCTGTAATTATCTGTTCTTAAAAGCATCTTTCTGCATTGGTCATTCAAAATTGGCAGGTAATATTTTTATGGATTTGTTGATGATTTGCCAGTACTTGATTCTTTTAAAAGCTTAAACGGATAGTTCACCCAAAAATGAAAATTCTGTCATTAATTACCCGATGTCACATGGACTATTTTACCGATGTCCTTGCTACGTTTCTGGGCCTGGGAACATTACAGTTGTGTTGCTGACTATGGAGGGTCTGAGAGCTCTCGGATTTCATCAAAAAATCTTAATTTGTGTTCCGAAGATAAACGAAGGTCTCACAGGTTTGGAACGGCATGAGGGTGAGTAAGTAATAATAGATTTTTTTTTTTTGGGTGAACTAGCCCTTTAAAGATTCTATGCCGCAAACTTTAAATATTTCACATACTTTTGAAAATCCAGCGTTTAGTTGATCCTGATAAGCGCTCGTCATCACAGTTGTAAACACAACGGCTTTCTTTTTTCATGAGGGGGTTTGGCATCACGGCATCTTTGTTTCCAGGCGGAACGTTAAAGAAGGTGACATTCACGTCTCCCGGAAATCCTGTATAATTCAACCAATCCGATGACGACTTCGAAACTCCTTAAGTGTTTCAAAAGTCAGTCAACGGTCCGTGGGCGTGACGTCTGAGGCTGAGACTAGCCAAACCTTGACCTCTGTTGTGGACTTGTGGATCACATAACATCAGTTTACCTGAAACACACCTACTTTCCTTCCTTTTTTGTCTTTTTTTTCTGCATTGGGCTATTTTTTAGACATCTCAACATCCTATGAAGATGATGTAGGAAATGTTTAAGTCGAACATTCACCACATTTTGCAAATGCATTTTTTAGACTTTACTGTAAATGTCTATGTTAATGTAAATGTTTTAAGTTTTTAATATTTCATAACTTTTTATCAAAATTTCAATATATAATATACAATATATATAACCTTTCAGTGAGACTGGCTAATGTATGCCAGACTTCTCCAATCCCTTCATTTAAACCCTGCTCCTCCACCGTTGACTGCAAGCTGACCTTCATTTTTGAGTGCAACACCCTCATCTCAAAAAACTAATCAACAACCAATGGATAGAACCAAGTTAGATAATCTGTTACACTTGTATATACTTTACAATTCAGTGCGACTTTAACTCACCACAATACTCAGAGATGGAGTTTGAGACTCTCCACACATGATAAAAATGATAAATGATAACTGTTTGTGTGGAGCATCATTTACTGTGAATGGAGGCACTCTGAGATGCATGTGCATAACCTACACGCATGTAAATAATTAAAGAGCATATATTTAACCTGCATTGCATGTATTTATTTAATTGAATCATAGCATTTGTAAATTCACAATAGCATTATGCTTTATTATGCTTTTTAAATGGTTTTAATATATCAGCTAGGGCTGGGTGATTTTTCCGAATTTATTGATTAATTAGGATTGAATGTTTTGCTACGATTTTATTTTTTAGAAATCGAGGAATCGCGATTTTGAATAGAAATATTATCAAACGTTAGAATTAGACACTTTGACAATATGCCAATGATAACAGTAAAGAGAAAAGAATGATCCAACCGCATGTCTGTGCATGTGATTAACCACTCACGTGTGGCGCACTCATATCGCTAGGCGCCATTCACACAGAATGCGCTTTTGTGTTGACAAAGATGAAACACGGGCAGTGGAATGGGAAAAACATGCAAGAAAATGGGAGTGAACTTCTTTTAACTTAAGCGCCGCATATTTAGAATGACGTTTAATGTATGAGACGCTGCAAGAGATGCAAGTGCAACAGTCAAATGTGTCCATGTTTACATAGAAAAAAACAATGGAAAAGGAGTTAGAATGCCGTTTCATGCACGAGACGCTGCAAGAGACACGAGTGCAACAGTCAAACGCGTCCATGTTTACACAGAAAAAAACAATGGAAAAGCAGCGCAACCAAATAAAAAAAACTGTAACTACTACTGTATGTCGGATATTTCATGTTTGCATCATGGTGACAGGCTGAAAGCTGCTGTTGTTTTTACAGAACATCTATAGTTAATAATAGTCTACTTGTGTTATAACTTGAGTCATTTTGAATTTGAATTACCTGACTTTTGAGATTTTTTTTAAAGCATATTATTTCTGAACATATAATATGTATAAGAAAAGTTTGTACAAGATGTAGTTGTAGTTCAAGCATCTTTTCCGCAAAAATATTTAACAAGTGATTTGTTTAGAGAGAAATAGGCCTTTTGTGTACATAGAAAAAGTCTTAGATCTTTGAGTTCAGCTTATGAAAAATGGGGGCAAAAACAAAAGTGTTGCGTTTATAATTTTGTTCAGTGTACATCATGTTGACAACTGTACTTGGAATAGAATTTTTATAAACTAGAGAGTTAATAAAGAAAAAGTTACTTGAATCATGTTGTAGTTACATTTTCAAATTGACTAGTTAAAAATAGGGATGCACCGAATATTCGGCAACCGAAATTATTCGGCCGAAAATAGCAAAAAAATCTCTTTCGGTGTTCAATAAGCGAAAAGGCCGAATAATATGAACCGAACAATGACGAACGCGATCAAAATAGAGGCACGCGTTAATGCAGCAAACATGTCGACAGTGTGAAAGTATTTAAAACTATCAGAGAAAGACGCAGAAATCATTACAAGCGTGAAGCACTGACAGCGAGAGACTTAGTGCTGCATCAAGTCTCCGATGAGAAGAAGAGGTGGCTAATGCTGGTGGTTAGGTTACTGTATGATGATTGAAATCGCGAAATTACCTCAAACGATTAGTAAATAAACTGCAGAATGTTATATTTTCTAATGCACGCACGAATTGCATGTATTCTGACGGCGCTGCACGAGCTCGCGGCGTCAGGGTTCAAAGTCCAAAGCGCGAGGAAAATCTGTGCTGGACTTGTTACTCGTCAGTTGCTCAGTAACATTTTTGTGAATTTTTTTAAAGGCATGTGAATGAGATACGTGCAACAAACATCTTCCCAAATTTGTAATGAGAATCATTTATAAATCTGCATGCTGTTGTCAACAAAAAGAAGCACTGAGATCTTCCTGCGGGTTTCTGCCAAAATAAAAGCCGAGAAAAAGCAACAACTCCATAAATAATAGTATTGTAATTTTACTGTCGTTATGTAAAATAAAATTAAAAAGTAAGACAATAATAATGATAATAATAATTACCCTACAACAGCTCTGTTAATACATTTATTATAACATTCACACATAGTGTTCAAATTGGGATCTGTAATATATTCTAATGTTTTAAAAGAAGTCTCTTCTGCTCAGCAAGGCTGCCTTTATTTGTACAGTAAAAAATACATGCCTGATTCAAGTCTCAAAAATGGCCAAAAAATATTATTTTACTAACTTATTCATTTTAAGCTAAATTGTGCTTTGTTGGTATAATGTCTGCTAGAATGTTAAAAAAAATGTTCAGCGTTAATTAAATATTTTTTAATTGTTGTTTTGTAATTTATTTTTTTATTTGAAAAGCAGGACAAAACAGTAAAAAGTACATTTTGGCAATTTAATTAATGCAATTGTGAAAAAAATGGCAAAATAGGCCTACATGTGAAAATGTGAAAAACCGTGTTCGGCATTCGGCCTTCGGCCCAGTGTTTCATTTTGTTCGGCTTCGGCTTTGGCCTAGAATTTTCATTTCGGTGCATCCCTAGTTAAAAATCGTAAAAAATCGAGAATTGAGATTTGAATTTTTTGCCATATCACCCAGCCCTACATGCAGCCTTGAAAAACGAACTAGTAATGCTTTTCATGGATTCTCGTCCGTGGAATGCGCCACTTCTGATATTTTGCCGGTTACTTGACATGGGTAAAATGCAATCGAGGATTTTTTTAAATGGAGTACTCGAATTGAATCAAGGAATCGCTTATAATGAAAGCGACTTACTTTACATTCAAGACACACATATTTCCTGGGAATCAAACCCATAACCTTTCTAACTACAGGAATTCTCACCCTGTTCTTGACGGATTCGCTCTCTTTCTGCATAGCCGGCAGCTGCCATGTTGAGACGACTCAACCATCTGTTCATATCGTCCACGCCGTCTGCTGCGAAGTAGAAGCTCTTGATTTTGGGATGGCACGCTTTAAACGCACTGCGTAGGGAGTGAAGACACAATAAGAATTCCTCAAGCCTCATCACATCACTCAAAAGTTTGTAAAGTTACTTACTATTTTTTGCGACATTCACTGGCTCTATCGATCTTAAACTCAGGGAGGCTGACAAACCCTTCGGCCTTCTCATCCTACAAGGTGGGAAAAAAAAGAAATAGGATTGTGTGGACATTTCACCCCACTTACACTCATCTGTAATGTCATTACATCCTCGTTAGGAGTTACATCTCCTTATTCTTCTTTCTCTTTCTTGGAGCATTAAACTGCAGCACCGTTGACAGGAGCTCTGCATAAATAAATGAAAAGCATAAATTGTTGCGGCTCTCTGTAAGCCTGTCTGTGTTTACAAAACCCACACAGTAGAAGATCATTAATTATAGCAGAGCCGGACTATGTTGCAGGATTCTCAGTGGACCAAAACCAGGCTGAGAGGAACCCTCCCCGCCCGTACTTCCTCCGAAACCCCAGAACGGCAGCCATATCCCACACCCAGGCCGTGATAAAAAGCGAAAACACTGAGGGTAATTAATCAAAAGCGAAGGAGCAAGGGAACAAGTACGGGAGAGAAGGGGAGTGTTTGTTGGAAGAAGTTCCTTATCTTCATTACAGCAACGGCATGTGTAGAAGACTGTTTTGTTGGGGTAGATGAGCATTAATCTTGTTCCACACAAGAGGGTAAAGCCGTCACCAATTAAAGTCTCATCTCTAGATCGATACAGTTTCTGCTGCGCTGGTGGATACGAGAAACAACAAAGACAACTGTATTGGCCAAACACGCATACGCACACACACTCACCTCTTCGTTCATGTACCAGTACAAGCAGGCGCCCTTCAAAACAAACCAGTACTTCTTCCATTTCTGCGAGAAATAGCTCTTTGCATCCTTCTTTTTCCACAGCCAGCCCTCACAGTCTCCACGACCCAGGTCCTTACAGGAGATTCTTCTCTTACTGATGGAGGACAGTGGAGCCGCTGGATGCCATATAAGAGAACAGTATGTGTTAATAACTGTTATAAAATGAATAGTTCAGAATCCTGATTGAGGAAAGCTGTTGTATAATAGCGTCATCATTTCATTTCTGTATTAAAGGGATAATTTACTCATTGTCAACTCATTCTTCAACTCATGCTGTTTCAAACCAGTTTAAGTTTAATTCTTTTGTAGACCACAAAAGGACGTGCGGGATGTTCATGCTGCTCTTTTCCTTATAAAGAAACTGAATAATGACTAGCAAACACCCCAAAATGGACAATAAGTTTGGCTTGTGCACTATACTTCTGAAGCCGTATGATAACTTTGTGTGAAAAATAGGCCAATATTATGACAATTTTGAAAGATTTTACCCAATCATACCTAGCTCTCAAATCTCATTCAGTGTTTTGAAAAAGCAAATTTTTAAACTTGGCATGTCATGACTGATTATGAGACTCGCGAGAAGAAATGTTGGTTATCAATTATGTCAAAACTAGCATTACACGTCTCTATGCACCATATTTGTGAATGTGAATGAGATTTGAGATGTTTGATTTAAAATGAATAAAACTGATAAGTGAATAACGACTTGAATTTTAGTCTTTTACTCACACAAAAAGCCTCAAAAGACTTGGAATTTCGTCTGGCTCAGAAGGCTTACAATATATGACAATATAACATAGTATAGTTGTATAAACCACTTTTAAGCTGTTTTTTCAGTCAAAATTCCATTTTATAGAATGGAAAAGAATAGAAAAACGGGTAGCGCGAATATCTCATTTTGTGTTTGACAACAGAAAGAAAGTCATATAATAAGGACAATAAATAACAATTTTCATTATTGGGTGAACTGTTCTTTAATATGCCCTGTTACTATATTGCTTATCAGATATAAACAACCTCCACTATGTGCCATAGCTAAGAACATCTACTCATAGCAAAATCATAGTAATGCACAGCCACTTATGGCGTATTGTTTTATTATAACACATTTCAATATTTGTGAGTGAATGGGCAGAAGACCTCAGACTGATTAGAATAGAAAACATTCCTGAAATACATTGACTTTGTAACTTGATTATGTGCTATTTTAGTTGTACTTTGGTTTAAAAGCTCAGTCTCAATCCTAGTGAGATTGTCAATCTCAATCATCAATTCTTTCGGGCAGTAATGTACCATTTTTTGAGGATATGTACTGTCATAATAGTGTTGCAACTTTAGAGGTCTTTCCACTGTTAAATCTAAGGAATGCACTAGGCAGCTGCCAAAATGTGTTAGAATACTTATACATACAAAAAGTATACAATAAGAATATAATAAGTATTATGGAAATTAACTTTCTTTAGTCTTTTAGGTTTATGTTGGTGGCCTATTGTTTGCATTATGCAGACAAAATATGCAAGCAGTGTACACAATGAAGACAGTGTTCCCAAACATGAGAATAAGAAAGATAAGTGATCACCTTTACTCTTTTTCTTGGTCTTGGATAGCAGAGAGGATCCCTGGAATGTCTGTCAAGAAAAGCAGAAGGCACAACATAAATACATATAAAAATACACATATACACACAAACACACATATGCATATTTTTTTAATAATCCATAAATATTATACAAATACATTAGAATTACATTTAAATATATTTATATAAAATTTAAGAATAAATACAAATGGAAATACAGCAGGAGGAAGTGAAACCAGACAAAATTATCGGTCAACACATCCAATTCTCCTGAGTGGAATCACATGGAGGAAATGTGTGAACATAATGATCTCAGAGCATCAATCCATCGCAAAACAAATTAAAATCAAAGGCGACATCTGAGCAGATGAAGGCACGAGAGCCCAAACAGCCAGAGAGAAGGAAGGCGGGATAGCATAGAGAGAAAATAAATAAGATTTCTAACATCCTTGGCCCGTGTGTTTATTGAGCAGTATTTCTTGGATGAGCACACCCAGACCAAGAACATATTTATGATTGCCCTGTGGCAATTCTCTTCCGTGAAGAAACTTCCTGCAAGCTTGAGCATTAAATTAGAGGTAAACTTGTGTTGCCATGCATCTATTAGCAACAGTATGGCGAACACACTGACTAGCATCACGCTAATTGATTTATTGATATGTGCCTGAGGAGGGAAGTTGCCCTCAGGCCCAAGAGGAATAACTGAAATTGATTAATGGAACATGTTTAGAAACTCAGTCAACCGGTTCATAAAATGTATTTATTTATTCAGGAGTTTCTGAATATACTGTGTCCACTTCTTGAAGACAATTTTCTGTTTGTTCAAGTGCCCTTATCGGTTATTAAAAAAAAATGGTAGTTGTCTCAGAGACCCAAGTTCAAGTCCAGGGTCCTTTTGTTCTCTTTTACTTCACTTTCCCATAAAATAAAGCCCAAAAAATATAAAATGACAAAAAAGATGGCCCAAAAGATTTCCCAGCATTTCACCTCATGACACAATTCAATGTCAATGCAATTCCCTCCCAAAGCGCTGTGAGAATCTCCTCCCAGAAGGTGGGAATCGCGATTGGTGTGTGAATTGGAGCAAGTTGTGAGAAACACTTAAGACACATCAAACAAACTTCCCTAAGGATTCAACACCTAGACATGAACAAAGCAAAATGATATAGCAGTATATATAACTGCAAAACCCAACCTTTATTTTCAGTAATTAACTTCATTTTTAATATCACTGAAGAAACGGGGTGGGGGCGTCTTGCTGAGTTAATGGCCCTGCCGACCCTCAAATGACATCCAAACTTGCTTGAAATGAATACTGGTAATCACTAAAAATGTGTAGAGGTTGAAGAGCAACTTCTACAGTGACTAGGGATCGCGTAACAGGCCTCATTCATGAAACATGAGCAGAACAATATCTGTCAATCGTTCTTGTGTAGGAACGCTTTTAGGAATGATGTGCACAGAAATTATCTTTGCTTGGGTTTCATGAATAAGTCTAAATGTTGGGGAACTTCAAACTCTTGAACAAATCCTACAAGACGTGAACATGAGATGTGCATCAGCAAACCGAGTCCAAAGATCTTCTAAACTTCATTTCTTATGCCTCAGGGGTCACAATCTTCTGAGAGAGATAGAGCATTATGGGACAACTATGACCCGTGTGACTCGAATAAACACAGTGGTTACATCTCAGCATGTGTCATGAATATGGTTTTTGCTTCCTACAGTTTCTTCTGGTTGCCTTCTGCTATGGTGAAATGGTTCTGTTCATCCATTCTCTCAGTCTCTGATGTTGAGGGTCACTCTCAGAAACTAGTGAATTTGTTCTATCTACTATTGTTCATTAACACTAGATAGCATGCTAAGATCTGCCATCAGGCTACAACTGAATGCCACATGGCAACACAGGCTCTCAGTTCATATGACATATGGTACAAACCTTTTCCGCTGTGCTATCAACAACTGACATATGCTCCATGTGATGGCCTTAAAGCATTGCATTAACCTAAACCAAACCTGTAGGAAAGCACTGCCTTCTCTGGAGGCTGTTTTTGTAGTTTTCAAATGATGTAATGATGGCAGTGGGTTGCTCAAATGAACAGGACTGAAGGCACTGTGTCTAAAGTGTTATGACAGTCAGACAAAACACTTTTGAGTGTGTGTGTGTGTGTGTGTGTGTGTGTGTGTGTGTCCGGTGGACGGAGTGAGTGAGCATTCTCCTTGAGTGTGAGGTGTGCTGGCATTGTTCAGACAAACTGCAGCTCTCTTATCGGACTGCAACGCAGGCAATAAAACACCACTGTAAACAATAGAGCTTAATGCAGTTACACTGCACATACCAACAGCTGCAGGCTTATTAAATCAACGCCATACAGAATGGTCTCTCCTCTCTGTTTTTCTTGCATCATCTCATCGCATCTTCTCATCTGGCATCTTACTCATATTTCATCTTAATTGACCTTCTCTTTTAATATTATTCTAATATTGCTATCTCGTCTCCTCTTCTTGCATCTCCTCGCATATTCTCTTCTCGCATCTTTTCTTGAATCTTCTCTGATCTTCTCTTCGCATCTTGCATCCTGCATCTTAGCTTCTCTAGTCATTTTACTCTTGTAGTGTCTCTTCTTGTCTCCTCTCATCTCTCCTCGCATCTTCTCTTCTTATTTAATTTGGTCTCTTCACCTCTCATCTTGCTTCTCCTCATTCATTTTTATCTCATCTCTTCTCATCTCCTCTAGTTTTGAATGTTCCCTACTCCGTGTTCCGTCTTGTCATATCTCTTCTTGGCTCATATTGTTTTTTTCTTTTCTCCTCACACCTTAGGTTCTCTTCTCATTTAATTTAGTCTCTTCACTTCTCATCTTGCCTCTTTGTTTCTGATTGTCTCATCTTTTCCATCTTCTCTCATTTCATTTTGTTTAAACACATCTAATCTCTTGAGTGTTCCTTTCTTCAGTCCCTTCTCTTCTGGTCTCATCCCATTTTGTATCTTCTTGTCTCATCTCACATCGTACATTCTCTTCTTATTTCATTTTGTCTCTTCACTTCTCATCTCACTTCTTCTCTTCTGATTTTCTCTCACTTTTACGTCTGTTCTTGTCTCATCGTGCACTCTCTTCTCCTTTTGCATCATCTGGCATCTTCTCTTCACATTTGATTTTATATTGTCTCTTTTCATGTCATCCCTTCTCTTTTTGCATCTTCCCTTCTCATTTTGTCTCTTTGGGTCTTGAATCATCTTTTCTTGTCTCACACCTCTTCTTGCATCTTACATTCTCTTCTCATTTCATTTTGTCTCTTCACTTCTCATCTTGCCTTTTAACCTCTCATTTAGCATCATCTTCTCATGTCTCTCCTCTTTTTCCATATTCTTCTCTCTTAATGTTTAATCTTGTGGTGTCTCTTTTCTTCTGGTCTCATCTTCTCATATCTTATTTTCTCTTCTCATTTTGTCTCTTCTCTTCTGATCTTGTCTCATCTCATCTCATTTCACCTCTTCTCTTTTTGCATCCTACCTTTCCTTATCGTTTCATTTCATCTTGTTGTGTCTCTTCTGGTCTCGTCTTGTCTCATCTTGTCTCTTCTCTTCCCTTTAATCATGTACAACTCAGAGTGGTATATGCAGATTATAAGTTTTTGGAGTCTCTAGCAAAGTTCATGAGCTAGAGAAAGAACAATAGCAAGAGTGCTGAGACTAGCACATTGGTTCTGGTCCAAACTTATGGTGATGGAGTGGTCAGCAGAGTTTTCCCACCCCTGCACACCCTTTATCCCAGATCAGGTCAGAGGACACATGGACACACATACATTACCCTGCTGAGGGTGTCTATAAACAGAAGCCGCAGGTAAGATACACTGTGAAAGTCACTCTTACGCAACACTGTAACACCCCAGCTGGGATCTCAGAGTGGCACCTTTCACACTTCTTCATGAGGACCTATAATTAGACCTCATTTTGGAAAAAAAAATAGAGAACTAAACACACATAATCACTTCTCATGGTCTGGCGGACATATAAAGCACAACATATTGACATGAAGACAGCACATGGCAGAGTCTTGGCCAATCACAATTCTGTTTCAGATGGAGCTCGGCCAATCACGTCACTCCGTGCCCTGTGACAGATGACAACACGACTTAGCCCCGCCCACCCCCACAGAACCACCATCTGCCTACTCAGCATCCATATGCACACTGTGACACACCACTGAGAGTCACTTTTCCCCGGATTATTAGATTTCCCTTGGTGTTTGTGTGTGTGGTTATGGCTGTGTTGGTGTGTGTGCGCTCAAGGACATCGGCTGCCACGTTCCCTCTTTAAAAATGACAGCTAGATCTCACCTCCACTCCTAATAACTTCACACACAGGGCGGCTAGTCTCACTGAGAAAACCCACTCACCCCCCCACACACACACACACACATATACATACAGTATACACAGGGCTGAGCACAAACTCCCACACACCTCCATGCTGACTAAAGGTAGAGGACTAACACACTCATTATATGCACACACACAATCACTCACCTAGCATGTGGGCGTAAGTATACATTCTACTTCTGCACACCATGACCTGGTGCTTTCAATGAAAACTCTTTATGTAAGACTCTACCTGCAGTGATCACAGACACCTTGACTGAGCAAAGAACCGATGAAAGCAGCCAGGCCTTGAAGAATGACTCTTTGTTACTTTGTTTGAGCAACAGAAAATAAAAGGAACACAGACACTGTGCGATATTCCTCACAATCTCTGAGTTTAGCCTGATCCAGACTGTCACACTCAAAAAGAGGCATTCTTAGACAAAGAGAAAGAACCTGATTGAGACATGTCGGATAAAAGGCACACATACTACCACTCAGCTCAAAATAGCAAAGAACCTTTTGAAAACGCACAAAGCAAAAAAAAATTTCTTAATCAGTATTTTTGTCTTGTTTCGCAGGTAACATCCTTAAAACATGACTGCAAAACTGCACAAGATATTTACATTTTTTAACAAATGTATTTTTATTAATCCATTACCTAAAACAGAAGTCTATTATGCTTACCAAGACTGCTGATCAAAATACAGCAAACATTTTTACAATTCAACATAACTTTTCTATTTGAATATATTTTAAAATGTAATTTATTCTTGTGATGGCAAAGCTGAATTTTCAGCATCATTACTCCAGTCTTCAGTGTCACATGATCCTTCAGAAATCATTCTAATATGCTGATTTGCTGCTAAAGAAACATTTCTTATTGTTTTCAATGTTGAAAACAGTTGTGCTGATTAATATTTTTGTGGAAACGGTGATAGATTTTTTCAGTATTCTTTGATGTATAGAAAGTGGAACAACATTTATTTGTAATAGAAATCTTTTGTAACATTATAAATGTCTTTACTCTCAATTTTCATCCGTTTATTGTCTCCTTGCTGAATAAAAGCATAAATACTCAAACAATAAAAAAAAAAAAAACTCTAACCTTAAACATTTGAACAGTAGTTTATGTTTTTAAAGGATATTTTAGTAAATACATTTAAAAACAAGACAAAAATATTTACAGTCCAACTCTATTGGTGGCTGCAAAAAGTCCCACCTTTAAAAATCCAAAGAACCAATCACTTTAATATATTTTTTTGTTACTGAAACATAAACTTGGCAGACAGTTTTGGAGATGACATGCCACCAAAATGGCCACAGAATAAACCAACTCCCTTCAGAGGACATACTACATACTACAGAAGACATACTACTCACATGGTAAAGAGAGGTGGAGTCTGGGTTAGGCGTGTTCATGGATTCCTGACGGAGCACCTCCATTTGGAGGGTCGGGAGGAGGGTGTAGTGGGTGGGGCTCCCGCTCTTTTCGCTCTTCTTCTTGCCGCGTTTTCCTGTGTCTCTCTTCATGCTGCGCCCTGCCAGATCAGCAGCCTTCTCATTACTTACATACCGCAACAGAGAGTTTTCTGAGAGGGAGAAAGAACAATATCTTTAATAACAGTAGCTGACAGTCCCAACTCAAGTCTTCAAAACTTCTGTGTTTCATGGAAAAAAGAAAGTCATATGGGTGAAAAACATGAGGGTGAGTAAATGATGACAGGATTTTCATTTTTAGGTGAACTGTCCCTTTAAATCCATTTTTTCCAACTATGTTACCATTTTTATGGTTAATCGGGCATTATAGATTTTGTTTGGCATGTTCAGTACATCAAAATTACATTTGTACATCCAGTCCTTCTCAAACAGTACACCCATTTTCCAGGCTGTACTGTGTCAAATCACTGAATAAGCTCGCATCAGTATTCCATCAATCAAGCATCCCAAACCCCTCTCGAAATACTCCAAACCTCAGTTGGCCAATCACAATGATTCATTCCCTCAATAGAGGTCTATCATTAGCACTACTTAAGCCTGTGCACTCTTCCCAAATCAGTCAAATCCAATCAAACTCTATAGGCTTATTCTTGCCTAATGAGCATAACAAGCCGATTGGTCACAGCCATATTAGTGAGCCAAACCAACGGGCTCCCAGCAGTCCCGATTTATGCTCGTCCTTTGATTTAGGAACAACCGCAGCCATTGTTAGGTTTCCCTTCTCCCACGCCCATGTCCACCGTTGCCCAGCAGCAGCCAATGGGACGTGAAACACTCAGGAGAGCTCCTGTCAAGAGTTTCCATGGCAACAGCATGCTTCCAGAAGAAGTTCCCTCTTCTTTACGGCTCGGCTTCCCTCACGCTGATGGAAAAGTTGAAGAGGTGGCAGATTTTAAATTGCATACAGTACGTTCATCTAGACAGGGTACACAACCTCTCAGAGTAATTATAAATCATTATTTTATTAATTGTAACTTCTCGAGTTGTAAAAATTGAACGAACTGCAGTATAAAACTCATTAAATTGGACAAGAAGTGGATGGATCTAAACTATCAGTCTGGATGATCCATCAGTAACAATGTACCTTTACGTAGGGCCGCACAATTAAATGGATAGTTGACACAAAAATGAAAATTCTGTCATTAATTGCTCACACTCATGTCATTCCAAACCTGTAAGACCTTTTTTCATCTTCAGAACACAAATTAAGTTATTTTGGATGAAATCTGAGAGCTTTCTGACCCTGCATAGACAGCAATGTAACTACCACGTTCAAGGCCCAGAAACGTAGTAAGAACAACATTAAAATAGTCCAAGTGACATAAGAGGTTCAACTGTAATTTTATGAAGATACAAGAATACTTTTTTGCGCAAAGAAAAACAAAAATTACGATTTTATTCAACGATTTCTTCTCTTCCGTCTCTTCTGTATCAGTCTTCGACGCACCTTCCGAGAGTACCACGATGCATGCTATTTTACTGATGTCCTTACTACCTTTCTGGGCCTGGGAACGTTTAAGTTGCATTTCTGTCCATGCAGGGTCAGAAAGTTATTGGACTTCACCAAAAATATCTAATTTGTGTTCCGAAGATGAACGAAGGTCTTACAGGTTTGGAATGACATGAGGGTGAGTAATTAATGACAGAATTTAAATTTTTGGGTGAACTATCCCTTTAATTTCATAAATATATGCATTGTGTGTGAGTGAAGTGCAGCACTGAGTTCATTTACACATGAGCAGCTCATGATCCTGTGTTTTCAGTGTCTCAGAGTGGTTCGGTTCACAGTAAATGTTGCTCCAAACTGCATCTGTTATGAGTTTGGGTCACTTATGTGAATTTTGGAATGCAACATGCACCAAACATCTTTCTTAACTTCTGAAACTTTCTGAAATTCTAAACCAGCTGTTGTCAAGAAAAGAGAAGCTTTAAGTGCTCTCTGATGGTTGAACATTTGAAAATTAAAAAATTAAGCCCACCATAAATAATATTGTAATTTTACAGTGCTACTGTAGAATAAAATTATTATTATTATTATTATTAAATACTTGGTATTTTATTTAAAATTGAAATAGAATTATTGTAATATTTTTATTATTAATATTTTATTTT